TTTATCTTTGTCAAACATATGCCCGCGTTCCTAAACATTTGGTACGTGATAATGTTAATTTACTAGTTCTTTTTCGTCAAGATGAGAAAAATTTAAGGCATGTTTATGATGATCATGTTAATACTGACATGACATTTAATCAATTTCGAGAACTATGTTCAACATGTTGGAATTCAGACAAATATGGATTTGCAGTAATTGATAAGGATTCTGATTTAAATGATGGAAGGTATAGAAAAGGATTTGATAGCTTTGTAACACTATAAATATAGGATCATCCCTAAAATATTGTTAGTTCAATATGAAACCTTGTAATAATAACATGTTTCATAAAGAAAAAGAATATCTTCATCAAATTGCTAAAGCTAGCGAGGCAATTAGGCGAAAACATCGTATGTTAAAATTAGGAAAAGAAGAAGCTGAAAATGTGCTGACTGAAACTTTTAAACCGATAGTTCAACCCTTACAAAAAATTATTAACTTGACAGACACTGAACATGAAAATATCAAGATTGAAAAGAAAGAGCAGAAGATGGATGATAGCATATACTTTGAAAGTGAAACTGAAAAATCTCCAGATGATGATAAAATAAGTAATAAATTTCTATACTTATTAAATCATAATAGAAAGCAATGTTTAGATTCAACATACGGCATACGTAAGCTAAGTGATGGATCACTTATGATTGGTGATTCACCAATAACTCTTGAAGATCAGCATGTAAAAATTGGTAATAAACGATATCTTCAAACGCTTGGATTACTTGAACTTTTATTTAAAAGTAAACCTACTACATCGCTTATAAGTGAAGATGATGAAAGAAACTATAAAGAGATTCTGATTGCTACTAATGCACACAAAAAGAAGTATAGTTCCTCTGAATCTATACGTACGGATAAGAGTTACAAGTATTTGAATTTTATATCTCAATTCTTCCCTCGAACACCTACCAAACGGTCATCTGTAAGCGGTAGTTCATTACCTAAATTTATGATTACAAACAAAAATTTTCAACGAGAATATATCTATTGGGATGATCCAAATGAGTTGGTTGACCGTCTTAGACTATTAATGGCTTCTCAAGCTGCTGGAAATCCTAGTCACAATAATGAAATCATGTCTATCATTGAGGAACTACGTGAAGCTAAAATTATATATTAAGATGTGTTTTAGCAAATATCATTCATTTCAACAATGAGCATTGACGTGTTCGGACATCCTCTCAATCAAAGAGGAACAGCAAGACGAGGGCCTCCTGGAGTTGGTTTTAAACTTAATTCTCAAGGTAACTTTGACGTTGAAGGAAGAAAACTCTCTAATCTTGCTAACGCTGAAGAAGAAAACGACGCTGTCAATTTAAAACTTGTACGACATATGATAAAACACGAAGTGCGTTTATTGTATGAAGCTAGTGCCTCACTTAGATCAGAGGTGGACAATAACAACTTATTTCTAAAAGTTCTTGAAGACTCTATTACAGAAAAAATAAAAAATTTTGAAAAAGATATAAATCAAGACTTATCTTATCGAACAGCTGAAATTATTAGTGAATTGGATACTCGCTTAAGTGCTCTCGAGAATGAACAACAAAAAATTAACAGTAGTGAATGAACTTCATACCCAGGCTAGAAAAAATTATCCTCGACGGCGAGTTGAAATGCGTGATATTGATGAGACATGGCAAGCAGATTTAGTAGAAATGATACCTTATTCAAGAATAAATAAAGGTTTCAACCCATTTGAAGCCGCCATAAGGGAGCGCTTGAGCCATTGCCCAGCCATATAAATTGTTGGCGTCAAAGTACATGATGTAGCTTGTATCTTTGCTATCATCGAAATTTTCCATATATCTATTATTCGCTATAGTATATCGGTTGCAGCATTGACTTATGCCACCTCTAATACCAGACTCAACAAACATAATCATATCGATATCGGTTATTAGTTGCAATCCTATGCTCGTGTACTTGAGCATAGCATCCCAAGTTAAACCGGGGGTCGTATAATAGTGAGCAGGATCTAACCCGTACGCTTTAACACATTCTTTTCGAAAATTTTCAAAGACATCCGCAAGTAACAATACATCTGTTTTCATATACAAATGTACATAGTCGTAGAGATTCTGACAGTCAAACTCGGTCCATACTTTCTGCGCATGCGCATACTCGTCATCAGAAATACCGGCATCATAAAGCGTACTATAAAATTTCTCGATCGGGGGCAATTCTGTCTCATCTAACTTACTTTTCGAGTCAAAGTACTCATAAGGGAATACACCCTTGCGCGTCAATAATTTAATTTTTTCCGGATCTGTCACCGTACTGGCAAAAACGGAGTTGACGATTTTGTACTCGTCTAGGTACGATGCGAGTTTCTCTAGAGATGCTGCCATAAATCGCAATGAGTCAATGAATCGAAATTTTACCTCACTCCCCTTGACATGTTTAGTAAAAGAGATATACTTCTCTTTGTTAATGGGGAGGAGGTCAATTTTTCCTTCAAAGCTCGTCGAAATCGCGTGAATTATAAAATGGGCGTCATAGCCACTTAGGTTGTGAAATACTACGGGGATCGTTTGACAATCTTGATAGTTTAGATTGCACGATTCATGGGCAGCACCCCTATATTTGCCAGTAAGGTGACAGTGATCGCGGACTTTCTTTTCGCTTGCCGGTATTTTCTGATGACAAATGTGACAGATTGTCGCTCGCTTAAAATCATTGATTTCTTGAGGAGTTAATGCAGTCATCGGTAACGGATTTTTAAAAACTTTATTCATTTTCTCTGCAATCTGCTTTAACTCCTCAGCAAACCATTTCGCAGGGTCAGATTCATTTTTCGGACACGGTACATATTTACATAATGATTCGTCGTAGCTACATTTGATATAATATCCGATGCTTAACAATTTGTGACGCTGGAAGACTTCAGTCTTACTTAAATTGTCTACATCTTCATCCGCTGGAAGAAGTAGACTTTCACAGTCGGCGTAAATTACATATGGCACCTTTTCTTTGTTCTTAAAATTTTTAAATGTGATCAGACTCTTGTCAGGCGTCGGTAATTTAATTTTACACTCATTCATTTTTTTACAATTTTCGAGATGTACATTCAGTCTATCTACAGATGAAAAGTAGTGTAAGCATCTGTCACAGATATGTTTTTTACATTTCTTTTTAGATAATTGTTTCGATACAAGTCGCGATAGATCTTTTATCCATACATAATGAAAATTCATAAAATCACCTTCATCACATATTACATTCTCTTCAACACTCTCATCTGCATACATGTCAGCTACGTATAAGAGATTCACATGTTTATCTCTTTTTTCAGCAGAGAGATGAAGGGGATGTGTTGTAAAGTCCCCATAATATTTTGATAAACCATAGACGTTAATCGAAATATTATTTAACTTTTCAAATTTTGAGACATTTTTCAACGTTACTGGGAAATCTATACCGTCAAAATTTAACTCATTTTCAAATTCTTTATAATTCGAAACTCGATCATTTCTCACTACATTTGGGTGTAAGGCTGAGAGTACCGCCCACTTAAAACACTCATTATCTTTGTTTTGCACGTTAATACAGGCTTGTTTTCTTTTAATTTGTGAGGGTAGATCAATGTATGAGCTCGCACGCATCGGATTATACTTATTTACATTGATTTCAAGCTTTATAATTGACTGTAGGTTCCAATTTGAACCTTTGGCGTAAAACTCTTCAACACTATGTAGAATCGGCTGTTTAATGTACTGCTCGAACCAATCATCTAAAAGGGTCGTAGGGAAGATGTTGTTGGCCTTGGTTCCAAAAGGAATCGGCTTTACAACTTCTTCGTCATTCTCCATCCTCTTGAAGTTTGCGATGAGTACGCCGTACACGACGATGGGTCCATTCTTATTTAAAGCACCTCTAATATGGTCTTGAAACAGTGTGGACCCATCGTCTAAAAACGCGCTTATATCAATGTGTACAAGATTTAGAATCACATTAGTGTACAGTCTACACGCAAACGCACTCTCACATTCTTCCCAGCGCACACGTTTATTTATATCTGGATCACCGATTCCAGCGCCATCTACAATATGGGACTCAAATAATGCGCGAAGTCTAATGATGGATTGTAGAATGCTCACACATCTTTTCTTTTGATGTGTAAAGTACATCGACTTGAGAATGCTCGATAACACGTTTTCATGTTGTGAGCATTCTACAATCCATCTCCCAACGAATGAACGTCTTAAATTGACGTCGTCTAAAAGAGGAATCAACTCTAGAGCCTCCTGGATGAGAGTAATAGTTACGTCACTCTCGTCGAGAATAGTACCGTAATTCGGATACTTACGTGGTGGTCCATCGGTGGTCGTCGCCTTCCGCTTCATCTCTGCACCTGAAATTACACTTACAAACTAACAAAAAAGAATAAAGAACACACTTACAAGCTAACAAAAGAACACACTTACAAACTAAAAAAAGAACACACTTACAAACTAAAAAAAGAACACACTTACAAACTAACAAAAGAATGAACTTACAAACTAACAAAAGAATGAACTTACAAACTAAAATACTTATACTAAACAAAACGAACTTACAAACTAAAGAACTTAACCTACAAACCAATACAAAGTAAATGCAATAAACACAGTAAATGTAACAAAAAAGACAGTAAATATAACAAAAAAGACAATTAGTAATGGCAAGGGGAATCTGCTGATGCTGCTGCTGCTGTTGGAACCGCTGAATCTGTGAACAGAACAGCTACTGACTAAACTCGCCAAAATCCCTGAATATATACCCCGAAATCCCCACTCCTACCTTTCACGCATGCGCACTAGACCATTTACCCTCACTCCAACCTATCACGCATCCCTACTCTTAAATTTTCCCCCACCTATTCACGCATGCGCAACACTCTTACTCTAACGCAGTCGTAACAATTTCTATACAGGATACGCAAAATAAATATACTAATTTACAAAAAAATAAAAAATTTATTGATTATTAAAAATAAAATTCAGAGTTAAATTTAAAGTTACGCGCCGCCGTCGATGGCAGCGACGCCGACCGTGAGCGGGCGGTGGCTGCGCCTCTGGTGGAGGTCCCGCCGGCTCTCTCTCCTCTACCCTGGGCTCGGGAGACTGCGCCCTGGGTATCGGTGACCTACACCGTGGCGGACTTCCTGGCGGGGTTGTAGGCAACCATTCCACCGGTGTAGGCGACCTGGGTGGAGTCCCCAACTGAATGAAGGGTGGGGGAGACTCCGGTTCTCTCTTTGGTTGAGGTGTCGGTGACCTGAACAGTGGTGTCGGCGGCCTCTCCACCAGCATCCACGGCGGTGAAAATGGACGCCACTGGAGTGCCATCTGATGCAGAGGTGACAGCTCTGGCGACGGAGGTTGACGTTGGCAGAACCCTCTGGGTGGTGACCCTGGTGGTGTTTTGGGCAGCGGTACTTCGTTACCTTCATTCTGTAACTAAAGAAAGTATACTGTACTATACTATTTTATAGTATATTATATTATACTTACATTGTACATGGAGACCTTCCTCATGGTGCACTCGTAGCAGTTACAGCTCTCCATCGTCGACCGCTCTATGCCTCTCCGCGATCTGGAATGAGCTCTCTACTGCGTGCTAGTCACCCTCGTAAGTCTCTCTCCCCGCCAAGCGGTTCCCCCACTACGCGCGCTCACCACTCTGCTACATGTGGTGGTTGACTCGAACTACTGTGAGCTCACCGCTGATAACAAGCTCACCGCCGGTAACGCGCGAATTTTAAATTGAAATATTTTTTCTTATATTTATAATAAATTAATTCATAACTAATTTGGATCCAGTAAATTATGCACATAATATTATAAAATAGTTTTGAATAATATGTAGTAACAAATATTAAATAAACTACAAACAGTATTATATATAACATATAAATACTAAAAAATTATTAGAAATTATTAAACTTACCTTAATTAAGTCAAGTCGATTATATTAAATAAAAACTTTTTTTATAAATATAAATTCATTAACTTAAATAAAGTCTAATTTTATTAAATTTGAAGTAAAAATTAAGTGAATAAAAAATTTAAGGTAGTGAAAGTTGGATTTAATTGTTATAAGTGAAATTTAAATATTATATCAATTTTAAATTACAGACAAATCAATATTAAATTAACGTGAAGCTAATAATAAAATAAACAAAAAAAGAAAATAAATATAACACATGTAAAATAATATATAACATACGCAAAATGAAAATATAATATATGTTAATTAAAAATATAATATATGAAAAATATATTCAGAATAAAAATATAGCACATGCAAAATAATGTACATAACACAGTTAATTAGAAAAAAATAATTGTTTACTTTCATAAAATTGAAAAATATATATAAAACATAAAAAAGCTTTTCATTATATATATATATATATATATATATATATATATATATGTAATTTCACTATATAAAATATTGCAATTTAAAACAAGTATAATAATCATATTACAAAATTCAGACTAATACATTTTAAAAATGTAACAAAATGTTTTCTAAAATATAAAAAAATAAAATAAAAAAAATAATGAATAGAAAATTATAGTATATAACTAATACCGTTAAAGTACATAACCACACAAAAATAAATAAAAAAAATATCAAGTATAATATATAAATATTGAAAATTAAGACAGTATCAAGCAATAAAAAAAAGTAAACAAAAAAAATGAATAATAAAAATGTTTCAAATCGGAAAGTACTTTAACGGTATTAGTTATTTGAAAAAGTTTCTCTTACTTGAGAAATTCACTTCAAGCAAAGTTGAAAATAAAAAATGAATGGTTACTTTGCTACATACTTTAAACATAAAAGAAAATTTTCTAAAAATAATGAAAAAAATAAAACAAAAAAATAATGAATAGTAAATTATAGTATATAACTAATACCGTTAAAGTACATAACCACACAGAAATAAATAAAAAAATATCAAGTATAATATATAAATATTGAAATTTAAGACAGTATCAAGCAATAAAAAAAAGTAAACAAAAAAAATGAATAATAAAAATGTTTCAAATCGGAAAGTACTTTAACGGTATTAGTTATTTGAAAAAGTTTCTCTTACTTGAGAAATTCACTTCAAGCAAAGTTGAAAATAAAAATGAATGGTTACTTTGCTACATACTTTAAACATAAAAGAAAATTTTCTAAAAATAATGAAAAAAATAAAACAAAAAAATAATGAATAGTAAATTATAGTATATAACTAATACCGTTAAAGTACATAACCACACAGAAATAAATAAAAAAATATCAAGTATAATATATAAATATTGAAAATTAAGACAGTATCAAGCAATAAAAAAAAGTAAACAAAAAAAATGAATAATAAAAATGTTTCAAATCGGAAAGTACTTTAACGGTATTAGTTATTTGAAAAAGTTTCTCTTACTTGAGAAATTCACTTGAAGCAAAGTTGAAAATAAAAATGAATGGTTAGTTTGCTACATACTTTAAACATAAAAGAAAATTTTCTAAAAATAATGAAAAAAATAAAACAAAAAAATAATGAATAGTAAATTATAGTATATAACTAATACCGTTAAAGTACATAACCACACAGAAATAAATAAAAAAATATCAAGTATAATATATAAATATTGAAAATTAAGACAGTATCAAGCAATAAAAAAAAGTAAACAAAAAAAATTAATAATAAAAATGTTTCAAATCGGAAAGTACTTTAACGGTATTAGTTATTTGAAAAAGTTTCTCTTACTTGAGAAATTCACTTCAAGCAAAGTTGAAAATAAAAAATGAATGGTTACTTTGCTACATACTTTAAACATAAAAGAAAATTTTCTAAAAATAATGAAAAAAATAAAACAAAAAAATAATGAATAGAAAATTATAGTATATAACTAATATCGTTAATGTACATAACCACAAAGAAATATATAAAAATATTAACTATAATATATAAATATTGAAAATTAAGACAGTATCAAGCAATAAAAAAAAGTAAACAAAAAAAATTAATAATAAAAATGTTTCAAATCGGAAAGTACTTTAACGGTATTAGTTATTTGAAAAAGTTTCTCTTACTTGAGAAATTCACTTCAAGCAAAGTTGAAAATAAAAAATGAATGGTTACTTTGCTACATACTTTAAACATAAAAGAAAATTTTCTAAAAATAATGAAAAAAATAAAACAAAAAAATAATGAATAGAAAATTATAGTATATAACTAATATCGTTAATGTACATAACCACAAAGAAATATATAAAAATATTAACTATAATATATAAATATTGAAAATTAAGACAGTATCAAGCAATAAAAAAAGTTAACAAAAAAAAAATGAATTATAAAAATTTTTAAAAATCGGAAAGTACATTAACGATATTAGTTATTTGAAAAAGTTTCTCTTACTTGAGAAATTCACTTCAAGCAAAGTTGAAAATAAAAATGAATGGTTACTTTGCTACATACTTTAAACATAAAAGAAAATTTTCTAAAAATAATGAAAAAAATAAAACAAAAAATAGCAAAGTTGAAAATAAAAATGAATGGTTACTTTGCTACATACTTTAAACATAATAGAAAATTTTCTAAAAATAATGAAAAAAAATAAAACAAAAAACTAATGAATAGAAAATTAACTCCTCTTTTTCGAGGATGCGGTTGCCAAGACTCTCTCTGCCTTTGACAAGCGTCGACATTTATTTTTTCGAAGAGGATGAGCATTGATTTGAATCGTACGTCTAGGAGTTGGCACTGGTGGCAATTGTCGTTGTGCTGGCACTGGTTGAGCTCTCGGAGCTGGCACTGGTGGCAATTGTCGTTGTGCTGGCACTGGTTGAGCTCTCGGAGCTGGCACTGGTGGCAATTGTCGTGGCGCTGGTACTGCTGGAGCTCTCGGAGCTGGCACTGGTGGCAATTTTCGGAGAATTCGTGTAATCCGGTGTCGTGGCGCTGGTACTGCTGGAGCTCTCGGAGCTCTCGGAGCTGGCACTGGTTGAGCTTTCGGAGTTTGCACTGGTGGCAATTGTCGTGGAATGTGCGCAATCCGGCGTCGTGGCGCTGGTAGTGGTACTTCTTCCAGTATGGGTAGTTTTTGGTCTATCAGACCAACCGGTGGCGTTCTAATAATTAATGCTGGCTGAGTGCGGGTGCGGATATAATTTCCTGCAGCCTCAGTTAAATCATTGACAAATGGAATGGGTTGGTTTGGAGCGATTATAACCTCCTGTTTTAATTCCTCCATTGGCCTTATGATATCATCCTGACCTATTGGTATTGGGATATCATCTAGGATGATATCCTCCAACAGAATATCATCCATTTCAAGTACCTCCTCTATGAGATTTTCCGGAATTTCTCCTAAAGTATTGACTGCAGGGAGCTGATCCCACCTGCTTTGTGGTTTGATAAATAGATCTGGACGTTCTGGATCATAAATTTCATTTTTCATTTTTTCCAGATCTATATTTATTTGATTCTGAAAATTATATTATATATTAATACATATAAAACATATTTTTACTTATTTTTAATAAAACAGTGAGAATATATGATTTTTTAAAGGTTTATTAATTATAAATTGTTTATTATACTTTGAGCATTCACACTAAAAATTTTTTATTGTTTACAATCAGTTTATAGTTTTGAATAAACATTTTTCAAACGTCCAGAAAGGGTGATTTTATTTTTGTAAACCTGTCAATACTTAAATAAATAAATCAAGAAAAAAGGTTTATTCAAAACTATAAACCAATTGTAAACAATAAAAAATTTTTTCTTTAAGTTATAACTTTGGATAAACTAAATATAATTATAAATTTTAGAATAAGATAAAGTCTAATATTTATAATTTAAAATCACTTTAAGTTGAACTTTACATTCAAAAGAATTTTCACTTATAAATTTCGCAGGTTAGGTTAGGATCCACTCAAAAGTCTCAAAGAGAAAACATAAGATTAATAAAAATGTTTTTTAAAAAACATTTTAATTAATTTAAGGTTGGAATAACAAATTAATAATCACTTTACACCAAACTTTACTCACGTTTTCTCGCTGCAGCTGACGGAAGCGACATTTCTCATTGCTGCAGAAACATTTTATTATCATATTTGACGGATCCTAAAGAAAAAAAACAAAAATTTATTTATAAAATGATTCTATAATACGATTATAATGATATTAATTAAATAAGTATAGCGTACTCACCATGATTAAAATATTTTTACTATGAAACAAAATGCATTAATTTCTATCACTGTTCTATTTGTGGTTAGGGTTAGGTTAAGTATAGACATTAGGCTCAGGGGTGGGATAGTTAAAAAAAGGTTTTCATAAATATTACTATAATTAAAGAATTTATAGCAAGATAAATAATTAATCTGTATATTTTAAATTACTTTTAAGTTGAAAATTGAATATAGAAAATTTTATTACAATTTATTTAATATGAAAGTTAAAAATCCCGCCACAAATTAAAATAGTAGAAATTTCAGTAAAGTCCAATCTTGAATAAATAAATAAAATTGAAATAAAATTTAACTTTAGATTTATACATTAAATTATAATACTTTTAATATAAATATACAATCAAAATTTGTAATAATAAATATTTTTCTTATAAGTTTTATTGTTGAAGTTGAATAATTTTTTACTAAAAGAATAAACCAATGAGAGACGTCCACTTCTTTTAGGACTGAAGGAACATCGATTTGAAGGTATCGCAATTGAATTTTTTCTTTGGCGCGAAATACAATTTGAATTTAAAATTGTATATTATTATGTTTGGTAATATATTATTATGTTTGGTAATATATTATGAAATAAATATGATATATATAAGAAAATAAATATAAACAGTTATAAATAATAATTATTATTAAATAAACTATAAGCTGTACAATATAATATAAAATATACACTAAAAAAAATTTATAAATGATTAAACTTACCTTAATGTAAACAACTATAGTAGATTGATTATAAATAAATAATTGATTGATAATATAAATAAACCAATTATAATAAATTGATGATATTACACATATAATATTTTTTATAATAAATAAATAATGGAGCTATGTTTTGTACACTCAAACCGCACTTTGTCGGTAAAACAAAATGGCGGCTCACTATTTAAGCAGTTTGAATTTTTCAAATAAATTTTCAAATTTCCCGCCAAGCAAGTTTGAATTTGCTAGTGGCGCCATCCATCGGCGGCAGCCGGCATTAAAAAATCGGTCGGTAAAACAGAGAACCCCTTCTAAGCCACGCGAAAGTTTGAAATTAAATTTTTAAATTTCCCGCCAAGGGGTTTGGAATTTGTAAGTGGCGCCATCTAGCGGTGGCAGCAGGAACTACCCTCGGTCGGTAAAACAGAGAACCCCTACCAACCACTGATAAAGTAGAAATCTGCATTACCGACCGAGGGTACTTAGCCGAGATCAGAACCTGTCCCCGTACCCCCCTAGCTATACTACTCATGCGTGATTTGATAGAACACTATTGCGCATGCGTAACATTGACAGAACACTACTGCGCATGCCTGACATTGATAGAACATTACTGCGCATGCGTAACATTGACAAAACACTACTGCGCATGCCTGACATTGATAGAACACTACTGCGCATGCCTAACATTGATAGAACACTATTGCGCATGCGTAACATTGATAGAACACTACTGCGCATGCCTAATATTGATAGAACACTACTGCGCATGCGTAACATTGACAGAACACTACTGCGCATGCCTGACATTGATAGAACACTACTGCGCATGCCTAACATTGATAGAACACTATTGCGCATGCGTAACATTGATAGAACACTACTGCGCATGCCTAATATTGATAGAACACTACTGCGCATGCGTAACATTGACAGAACACTACTGCGCATGCCTGACATTGATAGAACACTATTGCGCATGCGTAACATTGATAGAACACTAATGCGCATGCCTAATATTGATAGAACACTACTGCGCATGCGTAACATTGACAGAACACTACTGTGCATGCGTAACATTGATAGAACATTACTGCGCATGCGTAACATTGACAGAACACTACTGCGCATGCCTGACATTGATAGAACATTACTGCGCATGCGTAACATTGACAGAACACTACTGCGCATGTCTGACATTGATAGAACACTACTGCGCATGCGTAACATTGACAGAACACTACTGCACTACTGCGCATGCCTGACATTGATAGAACACTACTGCGCATACGTGATTTGTGAATATGTATACATGTGTTAATATTGTTTTTTAAAGATATATACATATATATACGGCTAGGGTCGGTCGGTCGGTCGTTCGGTCGTTCTTCAACTTAATATAATAGATGATGATTGTTTTAAAATCAATAAGTAAATTTTTTAAGTTTTTGAAAGAATGTACATAGGGTAAGTGTACCAATTGCCGAGGGTGTTCCATTTGTCGATGTTACCATGGTAATAACCAAAAAATATTGTCTAAAATGTCTCATTTGTTTGTTTATATAATATTAATATACTTTTTTTACATTTATAACGCATAAAAAAATTAATATTTATTACTTTTTTTCATTTACAATGTGCTACACTGTTTAAATAAAATTCAAAGTTTGTTTACTCGACAACAGGAACTATCCTCGACAATTGGTACGTTTACCCTATAATATAAACATTTTAAGTTTGAAAAATGCTGGAAATGTTTATAAATGCAAAAGAAAATAGATTATTAGTTATATAATTATTAATAACAATGATAATTGTTCATTTTTTTACAAAATAGACATACATTATACTTAAATAAACATAAATTTGTCTACAAAAAAAACAATTTGAAAAAAGACCAAAGTCATCTATTTGTTAATTAAAATTGTTTTTTTAACAATTTAAATAAAAGCTGTATTATGCATTATTATTTGTCAGGTGGTCAGACTAGACTAATTTAAATTGATTTCGATCTTGTGCAATGTAAAAATAAAAAGTATTTTTTAAAAAATATTGTAAATTGTTAACTTTGAGTAACAAAAAAATAAATAAACAATTATAAATTCCAAAATCGGTTTAAAGGGATATCTTAGAAATTTTATCCCCTTTCATTTAAGACCAAGATCATCAAAATCCAATAAAATTTGTAGGCTCTAGAAAATTTTGAAGAGCAAAGTGTAAAAAATCCCACTGTGAGGCGTCCCGGGTAAAAGATACTGCGCTGGCACTGAAACGTGGTCGCGCTTCCACAAAAATTGCAATATCTCAAAAACTATTAAAGTCTCCATCGTTTTCTTTTTTTTAAATGAAAGGTGAAATTATGAGGAATATTTTATTATATATCGAAAAATACTCAAAAATCGGTCCCGTGCTTAACCCATTAAGGACCAAACGGACGAAAAATTTCAATTGACTTTGAGGACCTCGTTTTTTAATAAAATGCATATATAAAAATTGACACATACCATTTTTAATGTAAAATTTACTCCTCTTTCAGATTCTGCTGTTAAAATTTATTTATACCAAATTGTTAAAAAGTTATAAACAATTTTTTCCAAAAAGACACGATTTTTCGAGAAAAAAATTTCATTTCAGACGTATTTTCACCTGAAAAAAGTAGGTGGATACTCTCAAAGGCTTAAAGTATTGCGTCCATGGACCCTCAGCTACAAAACCCTGAAGCGACCAATTTTTTTATCAAAATGGCAGACGCTAATATGGCGGCTAAAACTAAACACGGTGGTCTTCAAGCACTTTTAGGTTTACCTAAAATGAGTCAAAATTGTGCTAACGCAGTTTTATCTGGAATCGTTCTAAGATTCCAAATTTTCATTTCCGAAAATCGTAGCTGATTCTTTTTTCGAAAAAAACATATTTATATATATGGGCAATTCCACGTGAGATTTTAGTCAACCTCTTAAAATCGGCCAAAAATATTTTTTTCTATTCTGTATCGAAAAAAACAGATACGTATTTTTTTAGATCTGTGCAAAATAATTCGAACCGAATTGTTCGAATTTTTTCGCCTAGTTCGAATGTCGAAAATTCGACATTCGAGTTAGCTTAGTTCGAATGTCGGTTTTTCGACATTCGAGTTACTACAAAATTCGAACCGAACCGAGTTGTGTTTGGTTTTAGTAAGCTAAAATGTCGAATTCTAAAATTCGACATTTCAGTCGCCCAGTTCGAATATTCGACATTCGAACTAGCCCAGTTCGGATGTCGAATATTCGACATTCGACATTTCGGCGCCCCAAAACCGAACAAAACTCGGTTCGGTTCGAATTTTGCACAGCTCTAGTATTTTTTTATTTTTGTTTAATTGTCCAAATTTTCGAGTTATGAATTTTCGAAATTTTGGACTTGTAATTTTAGACCTATATTCAGTAGCTTATAAATCCGAAAATATTGAGTTTAAGAAAAAGTTGTCAAAAAACGAAAGTTTTAGTTTCCTTTCAACTTT